GTATATATATTATATATATATATATATATATATATAATATATATATATATATATATATATATATATATATATATATATATATATATATATATATAGTCTTGCATGTCTCTTGCGTAGCATCAAAAAATATTTCCCATAAACTGTAGTTTTAAAGAGCGCGTTAATAAACCAGACCAGAAAAAGTTTTAAAAATTTTATTTTTTTTTTAATTGATAGACTGCCTGGCCAAACCAAACCCTCAGTCGATGTAGCAGCACTCTCTTGCGAGTCAGGCTATTTGTCAGTCGTCGTTGTAGCAGCACTCCCTTGCAAGTCAGGCTATTTGTCAGTCGATGTAGCAGCATTCCCTTGCGAGTCAGGCTATTTGTCAGTCGATGTAGCAGCACTCCGTTGCGAGTCAGGCTATTTGTCAGTCGATGTAGCAGCACTCCGTTGAGAGTCAGGCTATTTGTCAGTCGATGTAGCAGCACTCTGTTGCGAGTCAGGCTATAAGATAGTCGATGTAGCAACATTTACGCATGTTTAAAAAATGTTTTTTATTAAATCAATAACAAAAACACCACTAATTAAAAAAAACTTTCTAGTCGTTATAATTGCGGTTTTTTAAAAATTTTTTAAAAAACAATTAAATTTAATGTACTTCCGCATAAATTAATTGCTTTGACATTTCGATGACAATCAAAAACAGCTTAAGAGACGAGGTAATTAAAATTGTAGTCGTAAGAGACTTTTTTTACATTAAAATGCTCTTAAAGCGACACTATATGAGTATATGTATATATATATATATATATATATATATATATATGTATATATATATATATATATATATATATATATGTGTATATATATATATATATATATATATATATATATATATATATATATATATATATATATATATATATATACATATATATATATATATACATATATATATATATACATATATATATACATATATATATATATATATATATATATATATATATATATATAATATATATATATATATATATATATATATATATATACATATCATATATATATATATATATATATATGTATATATGTATTTATATATATATATATATATATATATATATATATATATATATATATATATAATATATATATATATATATATATATATATATTATATATATATAGATATATATATATATATATATATATATATATATATATATATATATATTGTCTCAGAATTGGTCAATAGGTTAGTCAAAATTGGTGGAAAAAATGAATAATATGTTAAGCAACCAAAAAATTTGATTGCCTTAAAATCAACGCTTGATTTGAAATGCATATTTAAAACATTTTTATATATACGTATACGTCGATCTAATCTTTTAACATATACGTTTACTAAATGTCGAACAAACCTTTACAATATTGACGAATATAAGTCGTTACTCTAAACGTTTTATCGACGTTTAAAAAACATTTATTATATTAAAATATAGTGATATATCAATTGGTCATACTATATCATTGGTCAATACTCAGATAAAGAATCAACGTAATAAAAAAATAATTTTTTACTAAATAATGAATCATGAAAACGCATTTAAGTCTAACACTTAAATGCGTTTTCAAGATTCACTCTCTTTCAGCAACAAAAACAAAACGACTGATAAATAAATAATAAACGAGCGTCGGGTGCTCTATTTTAATTCGAGGAAGTTAAAAACCGTTATCGTGACAATCTATTCTCCTAAATGCCAACAAATCATGGACTCCGATGTTTTAGAAATTATTGATGGCGACATTGAGACAGTTAAAAAATACGAGTTGCTGGTCTCTCATTATAAAAGTCCTACTGCAAGAAATTTTTTCGTAAGTTTTATAAACAGTTTACATTCATTTTGTAAACGTATGATTGTGTAATAGTATTCATCTTTGCAATAATCAAGAGGTTTAACAGCTAAATATTTGTTTTTTTATTTTAGATGCGTTTTAGCTTAATTTAGTTATATTTGCTAAAGAAAGTTGATGAAACAGACTTGGTAAAAACCAACTCTGTTTTCTGTCACAACGTTACTCATTTTTTAATGTCAAAAATAAACCTGTATGGTACAGGAAATTTCGGAAACTTCTTTTCAGAAAATCTTTTATATGTGAAGTTGATCTATGATTTATAAATTTGCATTTAAAATGCTTACTGCTTTACCCTAGTTTTTTGCGGTTACAAATCAGTTTTCGAAATCAGACGATCAGGATACAAATGTAGATGACAATGTTGCACAAGAACAGGTACATCATAAACAAGCAACATGTTCACACATGCAGCAAATCAAATTACACAATTAGACAATCAGGATATGAATGTAAAAGATGATGTAGCACAGACAGGTGCATGATGAACAAGCGTTAGACGGTATTCTAGTAACATTTTTGATCATGCGTAAACCAGAGAATAAAATGATCTTAAATATTTGTTTATGAGTTTATTAATTTTCTTTGTAATTTGACTTAATCTTAATGTAAAATTTTCTTTTCTGTAAATAAGAATAAATTTATAAAATGTTTGATAGAAGTTATTACTATAAAATTTCAGTTCAAAATTTGACGTTTAATAGACGTATGTATGTTTACTGGGTTAATGTTACCGCAATACCATGAATAAGTATATAGCTAATGTTTATAATAATAAGGATAATATAGTTTTGCAAATTGGCAAGTAGCAGAAAAATTAATTTTGCTACTTAATTTCTGCTACTTGCCTGAAGCTGGTGCCTTGCAATACTCCGTATTGCAAGGCTATATTATCTACATTCTTATAAACACTAGCTATATGCTAGTTCATGTTACTGCGGGTAATAGTAACATGTTTATTTATATATAAATAGCTCAAGTGTAATTATCGAGCCCTTTTAATATATACAATAGTTATATGATATAATAAGATTCTTCTTTTACATTTATATATACACCTATATATAAACACACAGACTCACACACACACATATATATATATACATATGTATACATATATGTATATATATATATATATATATATATATATATATATATATATATATATATATATATATATATATATATATATATATATATGTATATATATATATATATATATATATATATATATTTATAAATATGTATATATATATATATATGTGTGTGTGTGTGTGTGTGTGTGTGTGTGGTGTGTGTGTGTGTGTGTGTGTGTAATAAGATTTTTTTTATTTGTTTGAAAAGGAAACTCAAAACTCTCGGAAACTAAATTTTTATATTATTGAACTTAAAATGTTTTCTAATACAACTTTTTACGCTGATCAAGAATCTTTTTTTCAAAAACAAATTTGCTATTTAGGAAAAAAAGTTAGTTAAAAACGGAAACGAAGTGTTGCGGGGTTGAATGAAACATGCTAATAAATAAATAAATACGAAGCAATAGCTTATTTCTTGAAATCGGTTTTTTTTATTAGTTCTCAAGTAATCAATAAAACTATATTTAATTATAAACTTTTTTTATAAATTTTAATAAACGAATTTTTCTGACTGAATTTAAATGACTTTTACTTACTGTTTTTATAAAAATATTCTAATAAATGCTTATCAGCTCATTCGTCGCACATTCTACAGCTACTAAATGTTGGTGTTTATTGCCATACCAAAAGAGTTTGGCGCAACATTACTTCAACAGTTTTATGCAAAGACAAAACTTAGCAACTTATCAAAAGAATGTTTCAGTCACCTACAAAAAATTTTTTTCAGTTTTAGTGAAGTTTTTATACGTACCCAGATGGTCTCTGAGTTTCAGAATACTGGCTTGTTTCCGTTCAACATCAATAAAATCAATCAGTCATAGTTGCAAATTTCTAATACATTTGAAATACCGAGATATGAATCTGAGCCTTTATTATTCCAACAACCAGAATCTATGGTGGTGCCATCATCAAATATAGCACCAGGAACTACACTACCTCAGCCACTGCCCTCTGAAGCTACACCAACAATATCTAGCATCAGCATATATTACATACCATCATCTCCAAAGTCATCTCAAAAGTCACCTTGTCAGCAAACAACCTTCAATATTGTAGTAAATCCGGCTATTCAAAAGGAAATTTAAAAAAAGGTTTCAAAACAACTGTAATTAACCCAATCACTTGGATTAGCTTTGCAGCAAATGTTTCGTATCCAACACGTTGACACACAAAAAAAGATAAAATGTAGATGTGCCAAGATTCGAAGGGGAGAGTCTCAACAAACCTGAAATACTTAAAAGGTTGAAACATGCTGAGAGCAAAAAAGCAGCAAAGCAAGCTAAAAAACAACCTAAGCTTAGCTCTAATGGAGAACAGCAAATAAACTATTCATTATGTCAAGCGAAAATATTAGCTGCAAACGAATTCAAGTGTAAAAAGTGCCGAAAAGTTTTGGGCGAAACATCAGTAAGTAATATTATGGAATGGTACCAGTGTGAAAATTCAAATCGCAAGGTTTGGCTATGTCAAACATGCATACCAAAGTGATACATAAAATGAGCTGAGTTTTACAAAAAGTGCCTGTCAAGTGAAAACTTAACTCAACCTCTAGTACCTCTAAACGACTCAACATCATCACAAGAATAAAAAAGTTTATTTTATTTGATTGATTTTTAAATTGTTATTATTGATTGTTTTTTTAATTATTATTATTGATTGCTTTTTTTTTTTTTTAATAAAGTGTTGCTTTAATTACACTTATATTTGCGTATTTCATTCTCCCCGAATGTCAGTGTAGAATGGAATAAAATTTTTGTATATAAATAAAGTTTCATAAAAAACTTTACAAAAAAATTGTTAAAATTTTACATATTTAAACACAGCTCAATACTCTCTACAACTTTATAAAAAAAAAAGAAAATTTTTTTTTCCGTAAAAAATCAATAATTAAAATCCTTAACTATTCCATTTTAACCCCATTTTACTCTATATATCCATAATAAAAATTAATTGAAACTTTTTATATAGATAATATGAGATGTTTGGCATGCATGATATTGATTTCCTTACTTGAAATATCAACTGGTAAGTTTTGTTGTATATATGTTTTTTTGTTTTTTTTGTTTTTTTTTTCAATTCTCTGTGTATGTATGTTTATATATACATGTATGTATGTATGCATGTATGTATGTATGTATGTGTGTATGTATGTATGTATGTATGTATGTATGTATGTATGTATGTATGTATGTATGTATGTATGTATGTATGTATGTATGTATGTATGTATGTATGTATGTATGTATGTATGTATGTATGTATGTATGTATGTATGTATGTATGTATGTATGTACGTATGTATGTATGTATGTATGTATGTATGTAGAGCATCCAATACCGGACCAAAAACTGAATACCGGTTTTTCGGTATTAGATTGAGTGAAAACCGAAATACCGGTATTAAAACCGGTATTTACTATTGATAAAAAAACATTTAATGAAACCCAAAGCAACAGTTAAACGGTTCCAAAACTTTATTGTTTAAGTTAAAATAATAGATATAATTAATTAATTTCAAGCAAAAAAACATAAAATAGTAAATTATTACTAAAATAGGCCCGCAACATAAATTATTTAAGGTTTATCATTTAAAAATACGATCATTTAAAGATGATCGTATTTTTGTACATAAAATTCCTGATGAAGAGAAAGACCGTTCAGCTTCTACGCTAGTTGGGGGAATAGTTAAAATATAATCATATACCAACATCAAGTTGGTACCACGTGTACCGTCTTCCTCAAATATAGAAACTTCTTTTTGCACCACTTTAGTCAAATCGTTAATATTTTGCTTTGTTTTTGGTACTGTTTTCATTTTTATCTCATTATTTATGGCCATGTCTAGCTGTTCCTGTAATGTCAAGCTCAAAGGTTCGTCTTCACACATTATAGAACCTTTGTTCTCATCTGTTTCTGATGGGAATGCTGCAGTTTCAGTTTGCTCGGATGAGAGCCGCTGGATAAGATGCACAATTAAATTAACCAAAGCAGTTTTAGTTAGCCGATCAAATATGATATCTGAACTTATTCTGAAATTATTCTGGGCTTGATCACCTTTATAAAGATATAGTATCAGATAAAATAAATTTGTGCGTCTTTCTTTTATTCTTTGAATCAAGGAGGTTTTCATATTTTAACTTAATGGTCCTACGATCAAATTTTGCAGCATGAATGCCAGGGTAGCATCAGCTGATAGTAGGTTAGCATCTCTCCGACATAAAGCCTCTACAGCCAATTTCACTGGTAACAACATAGAAACTGTTGATAACATCAATTCTAGTTCAGATTCCATAAAATTAATAGCTGAGTTTAAGTCAATCAGGGCTTTTTAAATAGAATTTTTTAGTTTATAAAAACGCTCTAGCATAAAAAGTAAGCTGTTCTATCTGGTCTTATTATCTAATATTAATGACAGGTCATTACCATGTTCAGTTTTTACATAAACTTGAAGGATTTCATTTTTGGTTGGCGATCGCCTGAATAGCTTACAACTTTTCCAACTTTGCTTATCAACGGAGCCAAATTATTTGCAAGTTCATTTGAAATTGGCGAATTCTGAAAAATCCTTAGTCCGTCTAAATGCTCTTCATTATTGTCATTGAAAATCTCACCCGCACTATCTTCATCAGATTCAATATAATATTCGGTCGATTCTACAGTTATTGTTTTATACAAGCCGTCAACCACAGCCAATTGGATTCCATGGGTTAGACAAAATTGCTGGTCAATGGACACTAATCTTCCTAACGGAAGCACCATCTGTAGTAATACATACAATATCCCGATCAATATTTAGGTTGTGTTCTTTCAGTATGTTGTTAATTAACTTAACACACATTTCAGCTGGGAAATGTCCATTACCTCCCTCTAAACCCAAATTCCAAAATCTATTTCGAGTATGAACGTTTATGTTCAAATAACGTCTATTTTTTACCAAAGTCCACTCGTCAAACGTAAGACTAAACCGATTTCCTTGCTGTTGAAGTTCAGATAATTCTTTTATTATTGAGTTTCGAATTTTAATAGCATATTTCATAACTATTTGATACAGATACAGATTTCTCTGTGTCAAAACACGCACGAAGTCTCATCGATGAGAAATACCGGTATATACCGGTATTAAGAGTTCGGTATTGGTATTCAAAAATCGTCCGGTATACCGGGATACCGGTTTTCGGTATACCGGTATTGGATGCCCTATATGTATGTATGTATGTACGTACGTATATATGTATGTATGTATGTATGTATGTATGTATGTATGTATGTATGTATGTATGTATGTATGTATGTATGTATGCATGTATGTATAATGAAATCTCTCATAAATATCCTAGCGAATTCTCCTAACATTGAAAATTTTAAGTTAAGTTTGTACCAATTTCAATACCAGGGACATTTTGTTTGAAAAGATTTTTTTTAATGAAAAAAAAAAGACTTTGTTTCAAACTGCGCTTTGGAATGATTTGAGACAGATAAACGCCATGTAATAAATACGGACTTCAATAAATCGAATTTCATTTATCTTTTTTGAACAATTTATAAGGTTTGAATTAAATAAATCATTTAAAGTTATTAGACTTTTCTTAGTTTTTGTTACTAGGTGTTTTCTCAGTTTACAGTTCAGCCCAAAATCCTTATTTATATTGCTCTATTTTTAATAAAACAAAACAAAGTTTTTATAAATTGATAACTTTTATATTTATCTCTCTTTTATCTTTTTTTTATTTTTTAAATTATTCCCTTGGAAGATTGTTAGCAAAAAATTATTTTATTGCTTATGTTTTGTATGGATTTATAATGATTTATTTATCATTTATTTACGTGTAATTTTGTAATGTGTACGTGTAATTATTATTATTATTACGTGTAACGTACGTATTGTAATGTGTACGTGTAGTTATTACGTATTATTACGTGTAATGTAATTATTATTATTATTGCGTGTAATGTAAATTTTAAAACTTTTAAAACCATTGATATAATGGGGCTCGCTGATAAGAAAGTTTGTCTTTTTCTTGCTCCGGGTAGGACTTTTATATATCGTAATTTCTTTTTTGTAATATTTAAAAAAAGGCAAAACAAATTTAAAAAACTAATAATAATATATAAATAAACAACAAAAAACGCGTTTAAAATTTGCATTTATAGAAACAACAAAATAATTTTTTGTTTAAATATTTTTGCCCGTGAAGTTTAGACAAGGCGTAGTCCATAACTTACGTCACGCAATTTTCGACCGTTTTTTGAACCCCTAACCTTTCCTCACAATATCATAACTCAAAAAATCTAAGCCATTCTGCCTCTAGAGCGCACTATGCGTTGCTCTAATACAAAATGAGGAAATAGGCTCATAAATAAGGAAATATTCAACATATTGAGTTGATTTTTCACAAGACATTAAATTTTTACTTATATTTCTATATTTTAAAGAAAATTATCCAGTTTTCATAAATAAACAGTTGACTGTATTTTTTTTGGTCATCCGGACTAAATTCTGACTATCCGTAAAATTACATCTGTCCGGGTATTTTTATTCAAAAAATAGTAGGCGCCGATATTATAAGACCATCCATAAAGGACATCATGCTAATAAAAAGGAGGGAGGGGATAGGGGTCAAGATAATAAGGACAAAAAAAAAGGGGGAGAGAAACATTAGAAAAGGACGTCATATTATAGAATTTTTTATATTTTAGTTTTAATAACATAAACTATATTAGGCCTAAATATACCTCTTTAGCTATATATATTCACTTATAATTTTTTAATTACTTTAAAGAGCTTAAATCCTTAACTGAACTTGGTGTAGAGCTCTAAAAGAGAGGCTACGATATTAGCTGAAGTTATATATTACTCGGTTGATACCAGAACGAAGCAAATTATTTAAAGGAAAGAGACACATCTACATGGTTCCAAATTATTTGATGCAAGTCAAAAACGATCTTCATTCAAGTCACGTGGATGATCGATTTTGTACAGCAACTATAAGGAATGTGAAAAAAGTTTGCTATTTTTTAGGCTCTAAGGATGTGGGCTTTATAAGTCAAGGCAATAAAGCTTGAATCCCGATCGGAATTACCTCTTCTAACAAACAAGCTTCTATATTAATGTATAAGTAATGTCAAGTTTCTCTCACTGACTATAATTGGGTCATCGACGCAAAGCTCATCCTTTCTCTCTACACAGCCATTAAAATCAAACCAGATAGGTTTAGAAAATCTAACGCAGTTTCCTATTTTGGTCCCACTTATATTGCTGTTCGATCTGAAAAGTATTCATCATTGACAACGTGTGCTCATAGATTAGACTTTGAACAACTTTAGACTCAGCCAGAGTTCGATTCCATTACAAAAGACATTAGCCAAGTTGGTTAAGCCAGTTGTTGTATTTAGGGTTTATTTAGCGGGATCAATTTTCCCTCATAATCATCATGAAATTCATCTAGACTCTTGAAGAATTCAAATTTATTATCACGCTGTCAACGATGAATGCTTTTCAGATCAAACTATTCATCAAAATACAGTATATATAGCATGAAACATAAGTAATTTATTATCTGCATTGCGAATTATATTTATAGTAGGACAGTGAATCTTCTTTTGGAGGAGACAGAATTTTTATTTTGTTCAATAGATATGGACCTTGAATATTTCAGGTCTGATGATTGATCAGTTTCCAACAGTGGTTGAGTATTTCAATTCAGACGAAAAGACGGAGCTTGATGCTTGTCATCTCTTATCGAAAGATCAAGAATGTACAACCTCTCATGTGCGCACCCGCCAATATTTTACGCAAATTGTGAAATGTGAGAATCCCGAATGTTTTTCTTCAAAAAGGTGCTCGTATTTCCATGTAAGTTGCGGTCAATTTCTGCCTCTACCTATTCCAATCTGCCAGTCAGAAGTTGGCTTGAAAGCAGTAGTCGTTTCAGATGTCACCAGAAAGATTCGTTTTCCCTCTGTATTTTTTTTTTAATAGCTACAATATTCAGAGCACCATTCCTCGATCATAAAAATTACTCAAA